TGAGATATGAACCAAGCATTTTCGGACATTTGGGATTAAACTATAAGCAAGGTGTTCATTATTATTATTTTGGATATATGATAAATCAAGTTTTAATATGTGATAAAATTAATTTATATATGAAAGAAAGTGATAAATTCAAGAGTTGAACGTTAAAAATACCATTTTAGTTATAAGGGTTCAGATCAAAACAAAGTTACCATATTTTATTTAAGATTTAGGGTTATATATTTTAAGGTGTAGGATCATTTAAATATATCAAATGATATTCAAATATATAGTTGTGGAATAGTTTTTTTTTTCATTGATATAATAATCAAGGTTTTCCACATTCTGTTTTACTTTAACCCGATTTAATTTAACATAATACTAAAATTTATTCTTAAAATTCGATAGAAAAATCATCTTACCCTTGTACCACCAAAAGCTCTTGTCGGTATGTTGGAGGCTGGAGGCCATTTGCTCAGCTCTCTCTCTTCGTTTCATAAATATTTAGTTTCTTATATATAGGAGATTTCGCCGTTTTTATTTTAGGTATAATGTAAAAACCGTCCTAACATTTGTCTTAATAGTCATATTGTGTATCACTTGTTTAAAACAATTTAATCCTCAACGTTTTAGTTTTGGTTAAAATGGCTCTCTTTCTAATGAAAATAATTTTTAACTAATAATCAACGTTTGTTGTTGGTATAATATTTTCATATGTATTTAATTGATGACATGACATACGTTATGTTGCATTAAGTGATGATGTGGTATATGTTACATCATCAAAAGCGATGGTGTGACATATATTATATCAATAATTAAACACGTGACAATATGATATCACCGATAAATGTTGATCCTTAGGCAACCAATGATTTTCATATAAAAAATTATTTTGATTAAAAAATAAATTGTTGAAGGTTAAAGTATTTAAAAAATAGACTTAAAGTAATTATTCTGTGAAACGGTAAGGGGTAAATTTTATTATTATGCTTTGCAATCTAATTTAGACATTATTAAATATCACTATTTTTTTTGAATTGTATATTATTTGCATCCTATTAAAAAGAAAAAAAAAGTTTTGAAAAGTAGAATATTGCAAACGCGAAAGTAAGAAATCTTGAAAGATTGTGAATAATCAATGCAATTTTAGGGTTTTGAATACATGCAAAAAGAATATGGAAACTCTTGAAACTTACGTTATCAATCTAAAAGAAAAAAAATCAAAGATTTTATGATACAAGCAAACATAAAAAAAAAGGAAAGAAACATTGATTGAATCTGCCAAAGTAGATTCAGTCATCACTTTTCCTACCCTATAAAACCCTACACATAAAACATGTAGAACACAAGCACAACACAATCATGCCTCGAGCATCGTCAAGCGGAGGCAGTAACAACGTGGAGCCAAATTTCCAGAAAATAGTTTCGGGGAGTGATGTCCGTCGAGGACAACTACATCACAACTACATCTGAATAAGTGCGACGTCGATGCATTCATTAAGCCATACATGTCACCCAGACATATAGCAAGTCTCGCTACAGTCGGAGATTATACTCAAATCGTAGCTTTTGACGTGAAAACCGAGCGTGTCTTCGCGGTGAAACTGGAGAGAGCTGGGAATGGCTACTTGCGCATGGGGGATGGAGTCTATGATATGATTGAGAAGAACATATTCGTTGCGGGTTATTAGGTTACTTTTAGTTGGCAGAATGGGGCTTTGAATGTTTATCATACTAATAATGAGAAAAATTCTAACGCTCGTTGAGCGTAGATGGGCAATAGTAGTTGAATAATGGAATGGAAAAAAAAAAATTCACATAGTGCAGTCAAACAATTATTTGTTTAAGTAGGGTGATTGTTGCAGTGACCACCATAGGTCTCCAGGAGCACACGACGACCTCCATAGGTCTCCAGGAGCACACGGTGACCTATGAATCACTTAGCGACCTATGGAGGACTTGGCGACCAATGAGGTCACTGTAGCAAACACCCCAGTTCAAGAAATAATTTGGTTAGAGCTCTATATGGGGAATTTTTTTTTCCAGCACCCTACATGGGCGAGGAAGCCATCGTAGATGAATACAGTTAACAATGAGTATTATTAAATTAATTTATAAAATGTTAAATTATAAAGTACTAAACATATAATTATAAATTAGTTAAAAATCTAAATGTAATTTAATTAAAATAAAATATTTATAAAAAATAGTTTTTATGGTAAACTATATCATTGACTATCTAACTATTTATCCTTTTACTTTAACAACCATTTTTTCAATTTTGTTAATCGAGTCACCTAACTATCAAATGATGTCACGTTTTACCAATTGAATGAATAGAAAATAAATTAAATCAATAACCGCTACTGGTGGGGTTTGAACCCAAGACATGAGGAGAAAAGCAAATGTCCCAACCAATAGGCTACACCATTCAAATGACAAACTTATCACGACATAATATATATATAGTTAATGGCAATAAAAAAAAGGAAATATGACCTAATAAGAACACCAACATGAAATAATTGAATAATACGATAATATGATATATATATATACACACACAAATATTATAACTAATTAATATGTGAATGTATTTTATTTATATTTTAAATCATTTTAATGAAAAAATAAAATAAAAATAATTTTAATATATTATAATTGAAATATAACGAAGAGCTTCGTTGACTTAGAATTTTTCTAATAGTTGAGGGCATATCGTAGTAAACATTTTAACTTATGCATTGATTTGTTTATATCCCGGTTAGAGTAAGAATTTTATATTTTATTATTTATTCATTATATATTTGAAGAGAATTTTAAACTTAATTTTATTGAATTGGTCTATTTTAATATAGAGTTGTTAAATAAGATTAGAATCCGATCGATGTTATAATATTTTAAAATATAAGATGTGATACATTTTAGTTCAATAAAATTAGAATAATGAGGATAATTTATTAATTTAAAATATGTAAAATGACACTTGGATATTAAATTTACTTTTATTTTAATTTTTGCATTAAATGTGATTTAAAATATAAATAGAACACAATCATTTATTAATCAATTATAATATATGTTTATATATATATATTCATACTATTCAATTATTTCATGTTTGGGTCCTTATAAGATCATTTGTTACCATTAAATATATTATAAATTATATAGATTATGTTATGTATACTAAACTAATTTAGTGGTCTAGCTTAGTAGTTAGGGCACATAGTTTTCGGCTTGAGTCCCAAGTTTAAACCCCACTAACTGCAGTTATTGATTTAATTTATTTTTCATTCATTCAATTGGTGACACGTGATACCATTTGATTCGATAGAAATTTTATTAAAAATATTAAAAAAAATCCAATCACACAGTGGCATATTTCACCATCGTATTGAGGATTAAATTTATTGAATTAAATAAAAGTTAGGAACAAATTAATATAATTTGTAAGTAATGATGACTAAATGTGTAATTATACAAATTTTATTAACTACCATGTCATCTTCTCCGTTAATATTTAACGGCAGATGGCTTGATTGGTGAGATTTAAATAGTTAGGTGACTCGATTGACAAAATTGAAAAATCAGTGGTTAAAGTAAAAGGGGTAAATAGTTAGGTGGCTAATGGTATAGTTTACCCTAAAAACGAATGTTTCATAAATATTATATTATATTTTAATTAAATTAAATTACATTTATATTTTAACTAATTTATAATTATACGTTTAGTACTTTATAATTTAACATTTTATAAATTAATTTAATGGTGATCATCATTAACACTACTCATCCGTACTCGTTAAGCATAATAGCATCATCTTAATAATTAATTAGCTTTTTTTAGTGAAGATATGAGAATAAATGAATTATCTTCTTCGATAAGAAAAATATGAATTAATTATTTATAGTTATAGTTATTCAATGAACCAAAACAATTATTACAACATCAAAGTTATTGTTTTTGAAACAATATAATGATAATTTTATAAATTTTAAAAGTTTAGGGATCAAAACGATCGTTTAAACATAATTTATTGTAGTTTACCTTTTATTTTCGTCCCTACTATTAGAAAATGGCAAGGGCAGCTTGATCTTTGCACCATGCATGGGTAAAACCTTAATGTTACACGGCTTTCCATGAATATGCATGCCTCCCTTTGAAGAATGTTTAGGTTTAGGGTTATTGAAATTAACAAATATATTTCATTATTATCATTAACAATTATAACAACATACTAACAGTAAATAATTAAAATTTCATCAAATATTACAAAATTGTTCTACATATATACATTGCATGCATATGAGGAAGAGAGCACAAAGGACATTAAAGAAGAAACCTATCTACTTTGTTAGCCGTTTGCATAAAACCGTAAATAAACTGACGCATAGTGACTAAATTTCAAATATATAGCGTATAGGGACTGAGAATATGTTGTAATGGAGCCCACCCACAATGTGGAAACATGATGGCGAAAGCAAGGGATAAAAGAGAGCGGCTGTCATTGATTAGACTGACGTGCATGCCTTATGAGTCATGCCACACCCGTAGGGACGATGACATAAGGTAATGTTGGGTGGCAGAGTTCGTGTGTCGGACGATGCTTTTGACTTCTCAAAGCTGTATTTGTATCTCATCACATCGTTCATCTAACTTGAAGAATTTATATATACGAGTTCCTAATCTCGGATCATGTATATCTTACTAAGCTTATTATGATTTTCACAAAATTAAGAATGAGTAAAAATCATAGGATTCGGGAAAATTAGATTGAAATATTTTTGAGGTGTTATATCATCATCATGGTTTATAAACCATAACCTGCTTTCGACATGCCAGATGAGATTCCTAATCAGCCAAAAATACAAACACAGTTACACAATGAGTTTAAATGAACAACACCACAGGGCTCGACCACACAATCTTTTATTATTCCAATCTCACATAGGAATAGAGCAAATAAGATCGGTCCAACGCTCATCAATTTATCGTCCAAAGAAAATCAGAGCAAATGAGAATTGTAATATTCTTATCAAGAATTTCATATTCAAAACATATAGAACTTTCGCATAAGGATTTTACCAACGGCAAAATCCACAACACCAACAATAAACAGAAAAGTCAGAAACAAACAACGATCAAAGATCCACAATAACAACAATTATATCCAAAAATTTCTAAAACTACTAATCTCCTCTCCTCAACGAGCTGACAACACCCATACCCATTTCTGCTCAAGCTCTGAATTTTTTTTGATGATAACACAAATCCAAATGGGGTGATAATGAAAAAGCAGGCAGAACATGTTGAAAGCTCTCTCTGGCACTGAAATCTCCTCTATTCAAATGCGTCGTCGTCGTCATCCGGAAGAGGCTGACTAGCTGCCGCTGCAAGCTCAGCTTCATGCCTAGAATCAAAAACAAAACATGTTAATAAATGTGCTCATAATCCAAGTAACACAAATAATAAAACAATGATCAAGACTCCCAAAGATTATCATACTGTTGCTGGGCAGCCAAGTCAATGTGAACTTCAGGAGGAGCAAGAGCAGGAGACTCCACAAAGTGAAGATTAGGATCACTGAAATCATTAAAACAACATAATATTAACCGACATTGACATTGGCATTGAACATTAGGTAACAAAGCAATGCTTTATTACCCGGCAAGCTTTCTGGCAAGGTACAAGAAGGGCTTCTCAAAATTGTAGTTGCTCTTGGCAGAAATTTCATAATACTGCAGGTTCTTCTTCCTGTGGAAGGTGACTTGCTTTGCCTTGACCTGCCTGTTCTTTACATCAACCTTGTTTCCACAGAGAACAATTGGAATATTCTCACACACCCTGCATTAGCAAAAACAACATTAATACATAAAACTGCTACACATGAACCATAAACAGGAGAGGAATCTCAACACACCTGCAAAGATCACGATGCCATGTAGGAACATTCTTGTATGTCAACCGGGCAGTAACGTCAAACATAATAATGGCACATTGACCATGGATGCTGGAACACATAATAAGAAAAATTACAAAATACTCAACAATGCAATGAAAGTTGTGATCTAAGCCAATGGTACAGAGAATTAAAAGTGCAATCCAAAACCCCATCTAAAAAAAGCACACCTTCAAGTTAATATGATAATTCAACAATTAACAGAATCGGATGCAAGCATTAACATCACTTACTAGTATCCATCTCTGAGACCACCGAACTTCTCTTGTCCAGCAGTATCCCAGCAGTAAAAACGGATTTTCCCACAGTTAGTGAAGAAGTCCAATGGGTGAACCTCCACCCCGATGGTTGCTGTACATTCAAAATGATAAAAACATTCGAATAAAGATCAGTACCAAGCCGCTCAATTTGTTCAAACAGCTCAAACATCAAACAAGACCAACATCCAAAAAACCTGAAGTTCGTTAAAACACCTACGCTCGTATTTCTTCTCAAACTCTCCAGTTAGATGCCTCTTGACAAAGGTTGTCTTTCCTGCACCCATCACACGAAGTTAGATGCCTCTTGACAAAGCTTTTATAATTAAATCAAAAAGCTTGAGAAAAAATCAATATATTCAAGAGTAAACAATTTTATTAGTGTTAAAATGTATACCGATCAAAAGCCTTGAAAATGAAAAAGTATAATCACACTATATATCCACGTAACATATATTTTTCATTCAAAATCTGTAGCTACTAGCATCGACAGTTCGAACTTCCAACCATTTAATTGCGTAGGAAAAAAAATTCTAGTAAGTCGAATCTACGAAAAAAGGACACTGAAATTACCAGTTCCTCCATCGCCAACGATGACGAGCTTGAAGCTCGGATAATCAACAGTTTGCTGGTTAGCCAAAGCCTGCACCACGAATCAATAACGAAAGAAATCAAGATCTATCTCGAAACTAAAACACTGTATTGTAGTTAAGATATCGGAACAACAAAAAGATAAAAATAAAAAGAATGAGAGAGAGATCTAGGGCTTCACCATCGATTGCTAAGCAACTAAGGGAAGAGAAAGGAATCTGCAAATCCTGCGTTTGTTTGGCGAAAGCAGAGGGATCGGAGTGCGAATGAATTGGGAGACGGCGATAGCTAAGAGTTTTATAACAGTGGGGGCTTTTGGGAGTCTTAAAGCTCTTTAGTCTTAGGCCCAGCCTTTAAATTGACGCAACTCTCTGTGCCGTTGGATTAGGTTAATCTCCACCATTATCTCCCATCATCTAAATCCTCGTCGCCGTCCGATCTTTCATCCCTTGGGGTCCACTTCTTTTATGCCGCGCTGCTGTCTCTTTTTAAAAAAGTTTGAGGGAGTAGACGGTAATTTAGTAAATGTTATTTTGGGCATTTAAAAAAAATGCCATTACGAGCCCATGTTTAATTCTAAGGTTATTTTATTCAAATATACCGTTTTATCCATTAAGTTTAATTCTACTAATATTGTTATTGTAGAATATATAGGAGAATGTAAGATCGATCATGCTTAAGCGTTCATATCATGGATTTATAGGTGGAGAAGAATCTAGGTAAATAAGCATTGTATCAAAATATTCAAATATATATTATATAAGATTAAATATCAAAATTATACTTATCTTTACTTATTAATCAAATTAGCATTATTTTTTAAAATTCTGAAAAAACCTGATTGATTAAATTTATTTTAATCATATGATATTTTTTTAATAAGCTAAAGATGATGATTAGTAAAGTAGTACATGTTCTAAATACTCTTAATCATTTGATATTGAACGTCTAATCATTTTTTGCAATTGTTGGTGTTCGAACTTATAATCTCTAAAAATATCAATGATTTATTTAACCACTTAAATAAATTAATTCGTACACTCATACCACACTTAAATCTTTTAAAAGATGCGATTGATTGAAACGTTTTTCGCTTCTATAATACAATTATTGCAAGACAAAACCGATAAAGCGTACATTTATTTAGTTTCGAATAATATATAACAATAAAAAACAAATGAATTCAAAAAAACTTACACCATACATGATAAAAACATATGTTAACACAAACACGAAACAAATCAAGCAATAATACATATGTGTATAAATATTATTTTTAATAATTTTATGAATGAATGCTTAAAAAATATATTTTAACAACCAGTTGGTATAACAGGATGAGTCAATAAATTCCTTAAGTAATGTAAGGGTTCGAACTCTAGCATTGTAAGAATGAAGCAAATTGGGTTGGAAAGGTTATCTTTGCCTTTGCAGTACCCAGTTAATAGATCGAACATCAGTAATTAATTAAAAAATACATTTAAACAATGAAAAAATTCTATCACAAAAAGGAAAAAAATCTGTAAAAAAGTGGGGAAAAAACTAATATCTTACTAATGTGATATTTGTATTATCAAATACCATATTAATTAGATATTGATTTTTCAAGTGTTTAAATTTGTTATTATTATTTAATTATATTCGTGTTAACACATATTTTTGACACATACAAAACATTCTTTTTTATTTCAAACGAATTTCACTTACATTTTTCCTTTTTTTTAATTTAATAATCTAATATACCATTTTAATTCTTTTAAGTGACACATAAATCGAAATAAATCATACTATATGTGTTTTCTGAAAATCACCATCGACGTGGTATACCTTTTAAAAATATTTTTTCTTCATATTTGAAAATTTAAGTTATATTATTATAAACACATAAATTATATTTAATTTTACATTCGTCAATATAACAAAATTTAATTTAAGTAAAATGATAAAATTAAACGTTTCTTACAATTATATTATTATCCCTAAACCATCCTCTTAAAAGGTGGGCGATACCAAAGAAGAAAAGGACAGACGATAATTTATATTATATATGGTGCTCAATAATTTGATCCAGATCAAAGGCTAAACCCGCCATCTTCACTTCCCGCTGAACGTATCTCATCCCAAATCCCTCTCTAAATAATCATTTTATTCAAACCCCTCCATGGCCACCCCTTCCGACCACTCTAATCCGTAAGTCTTTTAAAACAATTCTCCATTTTTTTCCACATCTTTTTCGGCTATATGTCGTCAATTTTCTGTTTCTGCTTTTTAATTCTAGCAATAAACTTTTTCTACGTATTCGCAGGAAAGTTGTTTTTAGGAGGCAAAACAAAGGACCCCCTTTCAAGTTCCTAGTCCCTTTAGTCTATGTCCCTGTTCTCCCTTTAAGTAAGTCGAAGAATCTCTATCATTTTTCCCTTTTTGGGTGATTTTGATATCTGGGTTTCGTTTTTCAGATGTTATTCTTGTAACCCCTAGAGTTGGCCTATGCGTTTCGATTAAGTCTAGTGGATCACATACATAATTCTTAAAAACATTTTCTGAAACCGTTATTCAATCAATGTAAAATCACATTATAAATATCATGAAATAAATTATACTATCAAAACCCAACTTGTAAATATAATACCAATAAGTAAAAAATTAATTTAAAACAGGTATTCAAAATCAAAATCATGATAAACCAAACAGTAATAGCAAAAGTGTCATCATCATAAAATACAATACTTTAAAATAAGGTCCATGTCACCAAAATAAAGTCAACTAGCAAGATAAAACATTACAATCAGATATACTTCAAGAGATATGTTGATCCTCCAAGTGCTCGAACCGATGTATCTAACCAACAGTATTTGAAAGGGGGAAAACATTTTCGAAAGGTGAGCTAGGCTCAATGTGTCCCAATATTACCTTAAAATCACAATAGGTACATTAAACAAATCATAGTCCAGTAAATCTCATAAATTCATAAAAGAGTTTAACTTTTGAAATTCATAGTTTAAACTCTTTTCTTGTACACCATCAGTAATTTCCAAAACTATTTTTCCATATAGCTTACTCTAAGCACACAGCAAAAAGAAAGACAACCTAAGGATAAGCTTTATAGCTTGTATCCTTAAGCTCGTAAGTCCAAGTCCATATAGCTTACCCTAAGCACACAGCAAGGGAAGCCAACCTAATGTATCTTGGGGCCCCAAGAGTCACATTAGGCCCATTCTGTTTATTAGCTTGATCAAAGCTATACTATTGTAATTCAATCCAAAAGTTCAATTGCACCGTAACACAAATTCCATAAATCATCACATTAAATTGGTGCATCAATAAAACAGTAACCAAAGAACTCAGTGTACCTCATATTAAAACCAATAAAACAGTTCAGTAATAATTAGGGAACACACCTCGATAATAGGTTCAAATAGTAGATTTACTGATTGTTGGTTTCATCACGCTCTGCTACAGTTTTTGAACGTGGTTTAACTGATCTAGAAGAATTGGGTCGAGCTGTCGAACGATCCGGAAAGTCTCTTATACCTTCAAATAATAATAATTTATCAGCCCCAAATATTACTTAATTGTTCAAAGCTAAAATTTTTAAGTATATAAGTATTTTCAGGGTTTGACTATCAATTTGGAGGATTTCGGGTTTGAATTTGGCCAAACGGATTGCGGAATCGGAATCAAGACGTCGAAAAACATAAAGTATGACTTTTCGAAAATTTAAATTATTGGTCAAAGTCAACCACTTTGACCGTCGATTTGGAGGCCTTCGAGTTCGAATTTGATGAAACGGACTTCGGAAACGGATTAGAGACGTCGAAAACTATCAGAATAGGTATACTCGGAAAAGATTAACGGTCGTTTAATGGTCGGTCAAAGCCATTTTAAGTTTTGGTCAAAGGAGGTCAACGGTCACGGTCAACGGTCAGGACGGGTCGGGTCGGGTCAGACCGGTTCGGACCGGTCAAACCGGTTTTCAGCCACTCACTCTCCCTACGGCGGCGCGTGTGGCGCGTGAGGCCTCCTCCGGGGGTCTAAAAATTACGGAAAAATTTCTAAAAATTATTTTGAGCGATTTCGAGATACTTACAAAGATCGGTTCAAATTTTTGAACGGCGGAAAGCTTGATTTCAACTCGGGTGAATATTTGACTGCTCCACCTCCTCACGCGCCGCCGTCGACGGCGAACAAGGTTGACATCGGCGGAATCGCAATGACACAAGGAACACGATGGTGCAGGAGGTGTCGTAAACGGAGCAACGATCGGTGATGAATTTGAGATTTTCCCGGTGATCGAGCTAAATAAAACATCGAGACTTTGAATGGAAATTCCCGACGTTTGGCAGCGTTTCGCTTCAATTAATTTGAATGATTTGTTCCTCGCTCGATGATGAACACAACGGTGGTTTCAAAACGACGATCGGAATTCGGACGGCGTCGGGATCTAAGTCGAAAACCGGCGTAGGGGGAAGGGAATTTGGGAGTGTGGTTTTCTGTTTTTGAAACAGAAACCACACGTATATAATATATAACCCCAAACTTACCTAACTTTTTTTGGGTAAATTCAGGGCTTAGTTCCTGAATTTTCTTTAACTCTAAAACAAGCTCCAAGTTTTAAAATCTTCCAATTTAGTCCCCAAATTTTTGCCAATTTTCACAATTAACCTCCAATTTCAATTAAATACTATTTTGTAAATATTCGAGTTGTTACAATTCTCCCCCTATACTAGAAATTTCGTCCTCGAAATTTACCTTATAAGAATAGTTAAGGAAATTGAGCCTCCATTGACTCCAATGTCTCCCAAGTAGCTTCTGAGGGGCCTCGGTTACTCTATTGAACTTTGACCATTGGAATACGCATATTCCGAAGAACTTGCTCATCTCTTTCTAAGATATGGATGGGCTCCTCCTCATATGACAAATCAGGTCTCAACTCTACCTCATCAACTTGAATGATGTGATCTGGATCTGAACGGTATCGCCTTAACATAGACACATGAAAAACATCATGAATACGACTAAGATGGGAAGGCAACTCAAGCTGATAAGCAACATGTCCAACTTTCTTCAGAATACGATACGACCCAATAAATCGCGGACTCATTTTACCCTTACGTCCAAATCTCAATACTTTCTTCCATGGAGATACCTTGAGAAAAACCTGATCTTCAACGTCAAACTGTATATCCTTCCTCCTTTGATCTGCATAAGATTTCTGCCTATCAAATGCCTCTTTCAGACGGTCACGGATTAATCTGACTGTGTCTTCCGTCTCTCGCACTAACTCAGGTCCCAAAGTATTCCTATCACACAACTCAGTCCAAAAAATCGGGGTGCGA